TTCTGATGAAACTGTAGTTTGGTTCTGATAAAACTGTAGTTTGGTTCTGATAAAACTGTAGTTTGGTTCTGATAAAACTGTAATTTGGTTCTGATAAAGCTGTAGAACCTGAAACCAACAGTTTCAGTTTGGATCTTTGTGTTTCCTCAGCTGAACCTTTAAATTTTCTCACGGTGTTTCCTTCCTGTCGGTCTCTTTCTCTTTCCTCCTCTTCTTCATGCAGCACCTGATCGTCACGGCGAGCACCACCACCAGAACCAGCAGACCCGCCAGCGCGGCCAGAACTGGGACCAGGATGGCCAACAAGGAGCCCTGGTCTTGTCTCTCTTCCTGCAGGACGGGGGCGCTGCAGGAGGGGTCCTGGTCYGAGGGGTCTGCGCAGACGCAGCTGAAGGAGCCTGCCGTGTTCACACAGGTGTGTCTGCAGGGCTCACCTGAGCTGCACTCGTCCACGTCCACGCAGCGACCCGAMGGGTCCTTCTGAAACCCTGCGGGACACTTCTGACAGATCCTGCTCAGGTCAACCGGGGCGCCGCCCTCTGTCAGCCAAACCTCACCTGAACAGAACAGGTCCAGTTTGGTGTCGGACCAGCACTCCACCTGCATCCTGCTGCTGTTCCTGGGGTCCAGACTGAAGGCCCGGATGCTGCTGACGCTGCTGTACTGACAGGCTCCAGAACCAGGTCTGAGTTCAGAACCAGGACTGGGTTCAGGACTGGGTTCAGAATCAGGACTGGGATCAGAACCGGGACTGAGTTCTAAACCAGGACTGAGTTCAGAACCAGGTCTTGGTTCAGAACTAGGACTGGGTTTAGAATCAGGACTGGGTTCAGGACTGAGTTCAGAACCAGGACTGGCTCCATATCCATGACTGGGTTCAGCATCTTGTCCTGGTTCTGTTGGGTCGGGTCTGAATGCTGCAGGTCTGGTTTGGTCCAGTTTTGGACTCGTAGCTGCAGGTCTGGTTGTGGTCCCCGGACCGTCCAGGACCACTCCCTGCTCCATCTTGCAGAAGTACTGGAAGTGGGTTCTACAGGAGACCGGAACCAGACCCAGCCTCGGAGCGGACCGGACAGACTGGATCTTCAGAGCAGCACACCTGGCCTCCGTACAGGTGAGTTTGGGCTCCTCCATCCAGGTGTGGACCTTGGACTCGTGTGACCCACTATCTTCCCACCTGAACCCTCTGAGCGGGAGAGATGGATCCGTGCAGTCCTTAGCCGGTTTCCTGAGTCCGATCCAGACCGTCAGCTCGTACTGGTCTGGCTTCGACCTCCTGAGGACCTCCAGGATCTGCTGGACTTCCTGCTCTGTGGCTGTGGAGGGCAGAACTCCTGGACTGCAGGTCCTCATGGCCTCATTAAAGCTGGCACTGGTCCGGATCGGAGTGAACCGGGTCTGCGAGGACGGGTCTGACGAGACGCCTTTCAGCAGGAGGACAACTGTCCACAGAGACGTCCAGCAGCTGCAGAGCCGCACCTCCATCTGTCTTAGCTCCGCCCCCTTTGGATGATGAAGATGATGATGATGATTCTGTGGAAACAAAAAATCAACTCAAGATATAATCTGAATGAAAACCTGAAACTCAGACCGGGTCCACCGTCCATCAGGACCCCAAACCCAAAACATGGACCCTGTCAAACACCTGAGGAGACCCCCGTACCCCCGGACCCAACAAACTGATCCATGAAGACCCGAGGCTTCAACAGCCGTGTCTGTCTACAGTCTACTCATAACCTAACGGGACAGAGCATCATGCAGCCTTCAGGACAGAAAATGACACTGTGTTMTGATGACAAAAAACAAAAACATTTSTCACCATCWGTCAGATAACATGAAGAAAACATTTACATTTTGTCACTTCTTTGAGTTTGGTGATGTTTCAAACTGTTAAACACTGCCACCAACTGTTCAGGAGGGTTATTACACCCCTGAAGGTTGTTTCACTGTGGAAGGGGTGTGTACAGCAGGGTGGACAAAGATTTGTCTGTGTTGGCCATGGCCACCCCTGGCCACCCCCTGGCTCCGCCCCTGCAGGTGACAGGTTTTTTTCTCCACATTGTAGACTCCAGCGGGAAGCAACCCTGCCCACAGCCGTAGGGTCTCCCAGGAGCTCTGCACAGTGTGTGTCAGAGGGTTTATGTGTGCGAAAACAAACACCGAACAACCACGTAACCACACGTTGTCTGCCGATCAACCATACTGACCCTAAACTGTTTGATTGACAACCAAGGGGGAGGGACGTCTATAGATCGATTGGAATTAAATGAAATTTTATTTGGCAAGTGACAAATTAAATTAAATCTTCTCCTAATTTTTGATAAGCAGTGAAGAGCTGCTTTAAACGAGCTGCTGGTTGGAGACCCCTGACATGGAGCAGCTCCATGTAGGAAAACCCATTCAGAACATTTGAAACAGGTGAGGAGAGCTTCAGGTGTATCAGTCCTCATCAGTCAGGTGAACCAGTGTCTGTTTACTGCTGGTTTCTGAGCTTTTACCCCCCTCCCCATCCTGTTTCATGTCTTGTTAATTTGTTGGATGAGCAGATTTGAAACAGTTTTGTCTCTTTAATTAATGCTTAATAAACCGTTATTRATGATTTATAAGGTGTTTACAGATGAATTAATAACCTGTCTATAAACTGTAWGTGCTACCAGATTATTTTAACCTGATGTTTTTAGCTGATTCGTTCTGTTTCCTGCAGCTGAAAACTGAACAGCAGCTTCAGATCAAACTGAATTTTCACTTGTTTTAAAAACAAATCCATCATTTTAGCTTCACTTTGTTTTAACTTATTTTCCACAGAGTTTCATCCAGATCAGTTTCTCAGCAGGATGTTTGGTGAGTTTTGAGTTTTTCTTACCGTTTTGGACTTGTCCTGTTTTTTTCCTTCACAAATCTGTAGAAAAGATTAATTTAAAAAAATTCTCTTGTTTATTCTGAGCAGCTTTTTCTGCAGCTTCTGCTCCGTCTCCACTTGTTCCCGTCTTTAAAACTGTGTTCTGGTCTCTCATCACTTTCTGTTCCAGCTTCTCCTTCTGAGGGTCTCTGCTGCCAGACTGTTGGCCTCACCTTCCTCTCCTCCTCCTCCTCCTCTTCCTCCTCGACAGGAAGTGTGTTCTGTCTCGATAGGGAAGCTGCTTTCCTCCAGGAGAACACGTCAGCTCCACTGATTCAGAGAGGTTTGAGTCACTGTGACCAAACTTCAGTCTCATCATCAGATTAAAGGTTTGTTT